TGGGGGGGGGAGCATAGGGAAAAATGGCGTGAAGCCATGGATAAGGAACTGAAAGCACTGGAGGAACGCAACACCTGGAAAGTCGTCCCCATCGTCGTGGCACGAAACAAGACAGTACTCACCGGGAAATGGGTCTTCCGTGTGAAGACAAAGGCAGACGGCACCATCGACAAGTTTAAAGCGCGGTGGGTCGTACGCGGCTTCGACCAAGAGCATGGACGCGACTTCACCGAGACATTCGCCCCGGTCAGCCGACACACCTCGCTGCGAATTCTCCTCGCAATCGCCGCCATGAAGGAGAAAAAGCTACGGCAAATTGACGTCGCCAATGCATTCCTCTACGCACCTGTCGACGCATAAATCTTCGTCGAACTACCACATGGCTCCAACGGATTACCTAATCACGTCTGTCAGCTGCTGAAGTCGCTCTACGGCATCAAACAAGCCCGGAGGCTGTGGCAACAGTACCTGCACGCAAGACTTATCCGCATAGGATTCCGCCAGCTACCTCACGACCAAGGGATGTACCGGCTTACAAAAGGCACCGACTACATCCTACTAATCGTCTACGTAGACGATCTACTCTACATCGGGTCGACCGACAACGTCACTACCTGGTTCGAAGGGGAGCTACAGAAAGATCTCACGCTCACAGTCTCATCTACCGTCACGCAGTACCTCGGCCTCAACATTTAGGAAGAAGATAACGCGATCTACCTCAACACCGCGAAATACGCCGACACCATCGCCAAACGCTTCGCACTCACACCAACTATCATCTCCACGCCATACCGCTACACGGCATGAAATCACAAGGAAGGTTCCACTCCACTCAAGCCTGCCGGGATACGCGACTACCAGAGGAAGCTGGGATGCCTCCTCTTCGCAGCTGTCACTTGCCGTCCGGACCTATCGTACTCCGCAAGTCAACTCGCGACCTACCTTAAAATGCCTGAAGCTGAACACATGGCGGAGCTCGACCGCACTCTTCACTACCTCGTTAGCACTCCAACGATCGGCTTGACCTACTACAAGAACGGAACTACAACGCCTAAGTTAATCGGCTACGTCGACGCCGACCACGCCGGAGATTCTGACAACCGGCGCTCGCGCACAGGCTACATCTACCGCCTCGAGCCTATCGGACCTATCTCGTGGCAGTCGAGTAAGCAGGAATTAATTGCTCTCTCCTCAGCTGAAGCTGAAGATATCTCACTCTGCTCAGCCACCAAGGAAGGACTGTACCTTCGCGAACTTCTGGAGGAGGCGAAGCTGGCTCAGTTACCCAACTTTTCCTTGTTCTGCGACAACCAGTCGGCAATTCGCATAGCCAACAAAAACGGATTCGCGAATAGGACGAAGCATATCGCCCTGCGATATTTCTTCGTGAAAGACGAGATCGAGAAGGGGAGACTCGAATGATCCTACTGCCCCACGACCGAGATGGCAGCTGATTACTTGACCAAGAAGCTCGGAAAGCAGAAGTTCGAGTACTCCATGCTGCTGACTGGACAGAGCCACGTCACCAGCAGCGGCACTCCAGAAGCGAAGGGGAGTGTTGGAAACAAGTAACTTAAGCGCCTCTGTCGTGTCAAAACACCAAGTCAGTAGCGAAGCGAAACATATCGAAGCATCAGCGAGTCAACCCTCGGAGGTTGAACAACTGCTGGAGGTTACCGTATGCGAAAGTCAAAGGTCAGCGACCTTTGACCTGACAAATACAGCGCGACAGCAAGGACAAACAACTGACTCGCTATTGAGCAGTTGCCCGAGTCGTCACTGTATCGAACCGCAACAGCAACAGCAAAACGGTTATTAACTGTATCTCTTCGTATTCCTTGTACTCTTATAAAAGCTTGTATCTCTTTGTCTTAATCAATCTACTTTACCCTCACATACTAGCGCAAGGTGGTTCACAAAGTTCTCATTAAAACGCTTCCGCTATTACATTGTCCTACTCAGAATTTAGTCCTGCAAAGATCCTAAGGGCTTTTCTCAGCCCAACACTGACAAGCCACTTGTTTATTGATACTGTATGACCACTGATTTTGTTAGTGTATCACTGCACAGAAAAACCATGGTTAATTTATACAAGGAATACGGAAATTTGGAAGTGGTACCACTCCAAAAGATTTAACCAGCCTCAGATAGAGAGGTGAGTAGCTGGGTTGTCGTTAACATGTAAGCACTGCTGCTCCAACAAGATAGGATTGAAGGGAAGAAGTGGTCTTTCTTAGGGTGATGTGCCACGCTTTAGAGGAGCAGTAATAAGGGACGACATTGAAGATCCGCTTATCCGATTGGAACACTGAGAAAAGTGGGATAAGAATTTAAAACACAGTGAGACAGGCGATAAGAATGGTGGTTAATGCAATAAGTTGATAAATATATATTTAAATACCATAACCAGATTAGAATAATGATATCGCCTCTAAAACAGGAACCGAAGGATGGCGCAAGCCCCTACGGATCTCGCAGTGTCCCAGATGGCGTCTTGTGATTTGATGTCGCACATAAGGAGAAGTCGAGAGAGGAGAAGTAAGCTCCTAGCCTCGACAGTGACAAGATGTGCTTATAACGAAGAAAATAAGAGAAATTCCTGGGAAGCGAATGGCGTACCAGTTCTAGATGTCGAAAGCAGCCAGGCGATTCAACGCCACGAATCAGGCCGGTCGCCGGATTTCAAACTCTGTAACGGATCAGATGGTGATCCTTGGGTACAGCTGACGGCCGGTCGTCATCTTCACATTCGCATCCTTCACAAAGTTAATCGCCAGCGGAATGCTTCGCGTGTGCAGCGAGTGAATCGCCGTCATCGTCACGGTTTACCAGGAAGTTTCATCTTTTAGCAGCTCAAGAAACTGACATTGATCAACAGATATTGTCCACCTGCCATTCCCTTGAAGCTGTCCGAACGCCGAGACTTCGACGCGGCGTGACATTGTTATACTGCGTAACACTGGCGCACATCCCCGCTTAGAGCATTGCTGATTGCAGAATAAGGCCAGGTGACCAAGTTACCCTGAGCCGGTAGTTGTTGATGAGTTGCTGAAGAGCTGAGCTGAACATATCTCCTCCATGTGGAAACGAGAAACGCAGATTCTTGCAGGTGTTGTGGAGTCTAGTTCTGGGTTTAAAGCGACGGTGCACATTTGCCACCCAAAACCCAGAACCCTGGCGAACTGTTACTGCGGATGGAAAGTGTCCGCACGAAATCCTGGTTTTCGCCAGCCAGCACTTTCGCGCTGGCAAGCCTGGTTCAAAAAAAAAACTTCTGAACCCAACACTGCCAAAAGTTGCCCGTCGCTTTAAGATTTGTCTAGAGCTGCTCTGATGTGGTGGCAAGGAGATGGTGGCAAGGCAGAGCTGCAAGGGCGTATTCCGGCTCGGTCCGTTCGAACGGCAGAGATACAAGGACATGGAACTTGCCATAAAAGGGGGAACCTCGTGTCGTTCTGAAAGCATTTTCCACCACGAAAGTTGCTGAGAAGGACACCATTCCGACACGAAATAGGGAATCAAGTGATAAGGTTCAAGCAATGGTTGGAACTCGATACAAGCTAAGCAACTCCTTAATCAGTAAAGCACTCCTTCAGTGCATGCAAACCTTAGTAATTCAAGTAACGTAACACGTGCAAAACTTTTTCCTAGTGCAAGTTGCTTAGTATACACCTATGATTCACATCAGCAAAACCCACAGAAAGAACATATTCAACACCTTGTGCACACCCATGCTGCTCTAAAACCCCGATCTCATCCTTTACCTGGGAGGCGGAATCCCTCCCCCTCCACTGATATCATCCAGCTCGATCGTCCTGTACTAATACGAAATTTGAGATGTCTTAAAACCAGCATCAGCATCTACCTGGGTGGCGGAATCCCTCCACCGCCCGCACTGATATCATCTAGCTCGATCGTCCTATACTTCTGCGAAACCAGCTCCGCCTGCACCTTCCTGGCTGTATCGGTAGCGCATCCGACTAAAATGAGGATGGATGTGCCAGCAAAACCCCGGAAGGCCGTGAGGTGAGTGATTCCTTCCACAAGAGCCGGCGCTGCTGCCATCGTGCCAAGAAACGCCGACCCGAGCACCGAAATGCGAGTGAGGACCTGGGGTTTAGTAGGTCAAGAAGGAACAAAAGATAAGAGAAAGGGGACGAAAGAGGGGAAGGGGAGGAGCGAGAGCGCGGAGATGAAATCACGGGGTATTTGCAAGGCCAAGTGATTGGCACAGATGCCCCCTGCAATTAAAACGATGATGGACGTTCCTGCGAACCCCCGGAAGGCCATGAGGTGGGTAATTCCTTCCACAAGAGCTGGCGCTGCCGCCATCGTGCTTAGCACCAAAATGCGGGTGAGAACCAGTGGGTAAGTAGGTCAAGCAACCTGTGTGCTGTTGCCTTGCCGGCCTGGTGTTGGGCACGGAGGCGCCCTTGCCTCTTGAGCGTGGGATATATGCCCTGTTACTACGAATTAAAGACTCAAGAAGAGCCCACCTTGGTGATCAGTGCAGCTGTTGCCTTGCCAGGACGGGTGTTGGGCACGGAGGCGCCCTGCCTCTTGAGCTGAGCTGCCCTGATGAGTGAATGGACTCTCATAATGAATGACCAAGGATAACCCACCTTGGTGATGAGCGCCGCTGTTGCCTTGCCAGGACGGGTGTTGGGCACGGAGGCGCCCTGCCTCTTGAGCTGAGCTGCCCTGATGAGTGAATGGACTCTCATAATGAATGACCAAGAAGAGCCCACCTTGGTGACCAGTGCAGCTGTTGCCTTGCCAGGACGGGTGTTGGGCACGGAGGCGCCCTGCCTCTTGAGCTGAGCTGCCCTGATGAGTGAATGGACTCTCATAATGAATGACCAAGGATAACCCACCTTGGTGATGAGCGCCGCTGTTGCCTTGCCAGGACGGGTGTTGGGCACGGAGGCGCCCTGCCTCTTGAGCTGAGCTGCCCTGATGAGTGAATGGACTCTCATAATGAATGACCAAGGATAACCCACCTTGGTGATGAGCGCCGCTGTTGCCTTGCCAGGACGGGTGTTGGGCACGGAGGCGCCCTGCCTCTTGAGCTGGTCGCTGACGTCAGCAGGGTCGAGTTGCAGGAAGGTGTAGAAGTAGTTGAAGAAAGCGATGAGTGCCACGTTGGCAGGCAGGTAGAGCAGACCTGGAGATGAGTAGGGTGGTAAGACATGACAAGGAGAGAAAGAAAGGGGAGTGAGGGGTCGAGTTGCAGGAAGGTGTAGAAGTAGTTGAAGAAAGCGATGAGTGCCACGTTGGCAGGCAGGTAGAGCAGACCTGGAGATGAGTAGGGTGGTAAGACATGACAAGGAGAGAAAGAAAGGGGAGTGAGGGTTCGAGTTGCAGGAAGGTGTAGAAGTAGATGAGTGCCACGTTGGCGGGGAGATAGAAGAAACCTGGAGGGGAGTGACAGGGTACCGGGTACAGGGTGAGAGGGTACAGGAGGTGGTGAGTTGCAGGGGGGAGGTGTAGAAGTAGTTGAAGAATGCTATTAGTGCCACGTTGGCGGGGAGATAGAAGAAACATGAAAAGGCAAGGAGCAGGGAACATAAAGGGAGAGGAGGAGCGAGAGGGACCAGGGAGAGGAGTGAGTGAGTTGCAAGAAGGTGTAGAAGTGGTTGAAAAATGCAATCAGTGCCACGTTGGAGCGTGGAGGAGCAGATTGGAACAGAGTGGTTACCTTGCGACTAACTCTTGTGGTTACCTTGTAGTGTAAATGACCTACCTCCGGGGTAGAGAGCCGTAGCAGCAGACTGGAAGGCAGCACTGCCGGTGAAGCGAGCGATGGAGTAGGGAGCTGCGAGGAGAGAGGAGGAGAAGATGATGGGCATGACTCCCGTTGAGTTGACCTGCAGAGGGGGAGAAGAGAGTAGAGGAGAGGAAAGAGGTAAATGGGAGAGTAGAGGAGAGGAAAGGGGTAAATGGGAGAGTAGAGGAGAGGAAAGAGGTAAATGGGAGAGAAGGGAGCTGCGAGGAGAGAGGAGGAGAAGATGATTGGCATGACTCCCGTTGAGTTGACATGAGGGGGGACGGGGGGATATAGAGGGGCAGATGAGAGAGTGTTATGGAGTAGGGAGATGGGAGGAGAGAGGAGGAGAAGATGATTGGCATGACTCCCGTTGAGTTGACCTGCAGAGGGGGAGAAGAGAGTAGAGGAGAGGAAAGGGGTAAATGGGAGAGTAGAGGAGAGGAAAGGGGTAGAGGACAGGGGTAAAAGAATAGAGAGGAAAGGGGTAAAAGAGTAGAGAGGAAAGGGGTAAAAGAGTAGAGACGAAAGGGGTAAATGAGAGAGTAGGGAGCTGCGAGGAGAGAGGAGGAGAAGATGATGGGCATGACTCCCGTTGAGTTGACCTGTGGAAGGGGGGAACGAGAGACGGAGAGAGAGAGGTTGATGAGAGGGAATGGGAGAGCAGATTCGGAGAGAGAGAGGAAGAGATAATTGGCATGACTCCTGTTATGTTGACCTGTGAGGGCCAAGGAACGAGGGGCACATGCAATGCAAGATAAATAAGGAAAGCAGTATGAGAAATCCTGATATGGGATGAACTGAACTGAAGCGATGGGGAATGTCGTGTCGGCTTTCAAAATTTCAAAATGAACTGAAGTAGATAAAATTTGAGATGTCTCAAGAGTAAAGTGAAGGGTAGGAGGAAGAGAGAGGAGGGGTCTGACAGGGAATGAAGGGATGGGGAATGTGGAAACCCACTTTCAAGAGGAGGAAGGCGTTACCTTCAAGGGGGAGGTGTTACCTTGAATGGCAGGTAAGCGTTGCGCGTTTTGATGTTGTACCGAGAGGCATAGTTGATGGGGATGCGCCTCTCTGCCTCCTGCTCGGAGGGAGGGGGTGGTGGGAAGGGTGGCGTGGGGGAAATGGAAGGAAGGGTAAGGGGGAGTTTGGGTTGGTTGTACCGGAAGGCAGGCAGGCAGGGTGGCAGGAGGGCAGGCAGGCAGGAGGACAGGAGGGCATGCGGGCAGGCAGGCGGGCAGGCAGAGACCACAGCACAGCCACCCACCTGGACGTAGACGATGCCAAAGTCGAGCAGCAGGAAGGAGGTCAGAAGCAGCGCCTCTCTGGTAACGTTCCCCTGCTCAGACGCCTCCGTGATGGTCCGTCCAATGGACGCCGGCAGGTACGGGGAAAACAGCACACCCGCCTGCACCCACTCGCACCCGCCCGCACCCACCCGCATCCATCCGCACCCACCCACCTGCACGTAGACGATGCCAAAGACGAGCAGCAGGAACGAGGCGAGCAGCAGCGCCTCGCCGGTAACGTTCCCCTGCTCTGTAGCCTCTGTGATGGTCCTTCCAATCGACGCCGGCAGGTAGGAGACGATGTTGGTGAAGATGAGCAGCGAGGTGCCGTTGCCGAGCTTGAGGCAGGAGGAGGCACACAGGCAGGCAGGCAGACAGGCAGAGAGCAGGAACCCACCTGCAACCATCCGCACCCACCTGGACATAGACAATCCCAAAGACGAGAAGCAGGAACGACGCCAGCAGCAGCGCCTCTCCGGTAACGTTCCCCTGCTCTGTAGCCTCTGTGATGGTCCTTCCAATCGACGCCGGCAGGTAGGAGACGATGTTGGTGAAGATGAGCAGCGAGGTGCCGTTGCCGAGCTTGAGGTCGGTGATCTTGTCTCCCAGGAGAATCACAGCAACTGAGCCGAGGGTGAGGCCTGAGACGGCTGAGACGGCCCAGGCGACTGAGGGGTCGTAGGCGTACTGCTGCAGATAGGCGACTTGCCCTATGGCCTGGTGGGGGGAGGGGGGTAGGGAGAGGGAACAGGGAGACACAGTGAGAAGGCAAGCACTGACACTGCCCAGGCGACCGACGGGCCGTAGGCGTACTGCTGGAGGTAGGCCACTTGTCCTATGGCCTGGGGAATAGAACAGGGGAGAGAACAGGGGAAAGACAGGGAATGATGGTGGGGACCTGAGGGTGAGACCGGACACTGCTGAGACAGCCCAGGCGACCGAGGGAACGTAACGAATCAATTAACATACCTGCAGAGCACCAAACGCCACAGCCATATATTTCATATACTGCTGCGCCTTCTTCCTCCCTGCCTCCCCCTCCTTCTTGTGCCGGCCACCTACCTTACACACTTGGAGTGTTCTTAGAGCGAATCAATCAACCCACCTGCAGAGCACCAAACGCCACTGCCATATACTTCATATACTGCTGCGCCTTTTTCCTCCCTGCCTCCCCCTCCTTCTTCTGCAGATCCCCAATCTTGGGATACAGCGTCCCCAGCAGCTGAAACACGATCTGAGCGTTGATATACGGCACGATGCCCAGCGAAAACAATCCCAGCCGTCCAATTCCGCCCCCTGAGAGGGTATCTAGGGTGGCCAGGAATGAGCCCTCCCCCAGTTGCTCCTGGAAGGCAGAGATATCAACACCCCACAGGGGAATGTAGATTCCCACGCGAGATAGCGCGAGCAGACCCAGGAGCATGAGGAATTTCTTGGGTAAATCGCCCTTGAAAAAGTCGCCGATGTCGATTTTGCTGTCCTCAACTGGAAAGGTGGTGCAGGTCAGGTCAGGGGAGAGGTGGAAACGGGAGGCAGAGGGGGGAGAAAGAGGAGGGAGAAGAATCGGGTGGGTCATACAGCCCATACAAACACATAAGCCTCGTCAGAATCAACACAGCCACGAGTTGCGGCAGCCCTCTGTCTCCCACTTTCCCCACCCCCTGAAACCCTTCCTTTCCAGCCCTCTACACACACATATGCATACAGCCTTTTCCATATCATGTACCCACCGGCTGCAACAGCAACCCCCTCTCTCGCCCTCTCCCGTCCCTTCCCCTCCAAACCCTTTCCTGCTGGTGACTTTTGAGTCGACTCAAAAGTCACCTACACACACATATGCACACAGCCTCGTCCAAATCATGCACCCACCGGCTTTTGAGGCGCCTCAAATGCCAAATCATGCACCCACCGGCTGCAACGGCAACTCTCTCTCTCCCCTCCCCCCCCCCCCCCCCCCCCCCTGCCCAAACCTTTTCTTCCTGGCCCTCTACACACACAAATACCCACCAGCTGCAGCAGAACCAGACGATTTCTGCTGCTGCGTTGCCTGGGCCACTGTCGACAAACGCCTGTTACCGCTGCTGCTGCTGCTGCTGCTGCTGCTGCTGCTGCTTCCTGGAAGAGGCAACGACGACAAACCCACTGGCCCGCCCTCCCCTGCCTTGCCTCCCTGCATGATCTGAACATGGAGGGAGGAGATGGGGAGGGGCTGTATTCAGGGCGGGGGCAGGTGAAGAATGGTTGGGCTTTTGAGTCGACTCAAAGGCGTGTGGTGAGTGTGCGGTAAGGGGGGGCAGGCGATCCGACCTGAGCCCCGCTACTGGTCTCGGAAATGAGAGGAGGCGAGGGGAAGGGGATGATCGTCTAGAAACCCACTGATGGCAGGGCGTGGTGTGCGTGTGCGGGTGTGTGTGTGTGTGTGTGTGCGTGTGCGGGTGTGTGTGTGTGTGCGTGTGCGGGTGTGTGTGTGTGCGTGTGCGGGTGTATGTGTGTGCGTGTGCGGGTGTGTGTGTGTTTGCGTGTGGTAAGGAGGAGCACGCGTTCTGACCTGAGCCGCTACTGGTCTCGGAAATGGGCGGAGGCGAAGGGACGGGGATCGAGCGGCTAGTCTGCTGGGGAGATGCGGGAGATGATCCTTCGCGAATGCTGCTTGGGGGGAAGTGGGGAGGAGAGTGGGAGGGGTATAGCGGGGTTGGGTGACGGAAAAATCAAGGAAGCGAAGGGGGTCGGACTGCTAGCCTGCTGGGGAGATGCGGGAGATGGTGAGGATTCAGGGGTGTGGAATAGGGAGGGTGATAGGGAAGCGATACGCTCCTGAGCTGAGAGAATGACGCGGGTTGATTAAGCTGGAAGAATGCTCAGCCGCGTGCTGAATGAGAGGATGGCGAACGCGGATAGATAGACATGCTAGATGTCCGGAAACACGATTTGAGGGGTTGAGGATGGGGATGGGGAGCGGGAAGGGAGGGGAAACAGAACGTGGATACTGAGGAAAACGAAGCATTTGCCAGAGCAAGTACGTGAGAGGCGATAGAGTAGAGGAGACAGGAGTAGAAGTCAGCTGCTTAGGGCAAAATAAAAACTGTTTGGTAACCGAATTGGTTACATGGGCCGAGGAGGACGTAGCAGTGGTGATAAGAGTATAAAATGCGTGCTTATTAACCCGGAATCTCAATGCTGCTTTACGAGTTATGGTCCAATACGGATATGGACAAAAGAAGGTTATGGAAAAGACAAACCTGCGGTTCGAGGACCAGCCAGTGTGGCCGGCGATGCGAGGAGGGACGCCATTGGCTTAACCCACTCGTCAGGCTCAGTCTCCCTTAGGATTTAGAATGCGAGGCGTTTATTTACCACGCGATAATCGTACGAATGGACGCAATCTCGCAATATCTTGCAAAATCCGTACGAAAGTCTTGAAGGAGGTTTGCCGAACAGCGAGGACCTCGAAAATGGCGGACTCGCCTGCTCCTAAAGCGTAAAGCGCTTTAGCTGTTGGTGCGTCCTAATGGAGGATAAGTTGGAGAAATCAGGGGATAAGGCTCGCGAAATCTAACGAAGTCACCCAGTCAGAAAAATACTTCGTTCAACTCTAGTTACAAAATATCGTTGTGTCTGGAACACGTCGTTGAAGTTGCGCGAACTGGTTTCATCCTTCTCGAGGATTGCACGACGCGTGGCCCAATTGGAGAGAGTGGATAGGGAGGATCTCTGGTACTCTCAATAGTAGCTCTCTCATTTTCGTTTCCCTGCAGTCTTGTTACAATGCACTTATGTGCAGTGAAAATGCAGTCATGTTCCATTTTGAAACGGAGCCTCTGCACCCGGCTAGGAAAAAAAATACCGGTACCACACAATTTATGTTCTGGATCATATTTTATTAAAAATCCCTCGCAAGAAAGCAGTCGCGAATGCACTTTTCCACTTCAGGCCTCCAAGCAGTTCCCAACAAATTGATAGGAATGAAAGAAAAATGGCTACACATTATTGCAGTCGTGTGAAATGATTGTGGAATTCCCCACTAGGTACATGTACCTAATCAAGTCTGCAGAGTGCTAACAACAGTGATGGGAAAGTGGTTCCAGGCAGGTGAGAGGCGCTAGCATGAGAGGTGCCCAAGGATGGGAGCCGCCACCACCTTTGCTCCGGTGGAGGAAGGCATGTTGCCGCAGGGTGTTTTGAGAATTCTCAAAAACACCCTGCAGCGTCATCATCTTTGGACCGGTGGAGGAAGGCGTGTTGCCGCAGACGGGAAGGAACGCCTGAGGATGGAAACAGGCTTCACCTGAACCCTGAATGTGCTGGGTTGGAATGACGAAAGAATGAGAAGCAGCAACTGGTCACATCACAACACAATCATGTGAGCATGAGTCGTGCATTGATGGCAGGCAGGGAACCTGCATGGCCCCCAGGAGAAGGGAGAAACTTCTGAGACGTCTCAAAAGGCAAGGGGTCACATCACAACACAATCATGTGAGCATGAGTCGTGCATTGATGGCAGGCAGGGAACCTGCATGGCCCCCAGGAGAAGGGAGAAACGCCTGTGGATGGGAACTGTTTCAATGAGGATGGGACAAAGAAGGGACAGCACACAGAGATGGGACGGCACACAGAGATGGGACGGCACACAGAGAAGGGACGGGACACAGAGAAGAGAAACGCAGAGAAGAGACGATCCAGCCCATTTCACCCAATCACAGTAGCATACCAATTGATTTAGCATACCAATCGATGTATAGCATACCGAAGAATCACTCAAACCACACTCATCATCACTCTGTATCAGACCACATCTTATCATAGTATGCCTTATCATAGCACACCTTATCATAGCACACCTTATAATAGCAGACTGTATCATAGCAGACTGTATCATAGCAGACTGTATCATACCTCAGTACCCTGCCCAACCCACTCTACCTCATCCCACTGTACCCTGCCCAACCCACTCTACCTCATCCCACTGTACCCTGCCCAACCCACTCTACCTCATCCCACCGTACCCTGCCCAACCCACTCTACCTCATCCCACTGTACCCTGCCCAACCCACTCTACCTCATCCCACTGTACCCTGCCCAACCCACTCTACCTCATCCCACCGTACCCTGCCCAACCCACTCTATCTCATCCCACTGTACCCTGCCCATCCCACTACGCCTTCCACCGTACCCAGCCCAACCCAACCCGTTCTGCTTGATCCCCACCCCACCTACCCCACTGCTCCCCATCCCACCCAAGGGAATTCACCCCTTCCTTCTCACCCATCCCACCCAAGGGGATTCACCCCTTCCTTCTCACCCATCCCACCCAAGGGGATTCACCCCTTCCTTCTCACCCATCCCACCCAAGGGGATTCACCCCTTCCTTCTCACCCATCCCACCCAAGGGGACTCACTCCTTCCTTCTCACCCATCCCACCCAAGGGGATTCACCCCTTCCTTCTCACCCATCCCACTCAAGGAGATTCAGTCCCCATTCCTCTCAACCACCCAACCCCCATTCCCTCTCACCCACCGAACCCAAGGGGATTCATTCCCCTTCCCTCTCACCCACCCAACCCAAGAGGATTCAGTCCCCTTCCCTCTCACCCGCCCACCCAGCCCATCCCTACCTTCACCTGCCAGCGGTAGGGGCAGCAGAAAGCCCCACTCAGGCCCACTCAGGCCCCACTCACCACCCAAGGGGATTCAGGCCCCACTCACCACCCAAGGGGTTTCAGCCCCCACTCACCACCCAAGGGGTTTCAGGCCCCACTGGTGCCCAAGGGGTTTCAGGCCCCTTTCTCTCTCACTCACCCCACCCAGCCCATCCCACCTTCACCTGCCAGCAGTAGGAGCAGCAGAAAGCCCACTTTCTTAAGGAAACAGCACCCCCAGAGGCGGTGCCTTGTGGGGCGAAGTGTGGTAGTGGAAAATTGCTTCCAGCCCAAGACTCAAATCCCACCCCTGACGTGGCTAGAGCTGACGCGAACCAGAGCCGCCGGCCGGTCGGCTCTGACGGTGTCCATTAAGCCTTAAACGCCAGATTGGTTACTTGAGCACCGAGTGCCGTGCCGCGCAGATTCCACCCACCACACCCCGATCCACAAGAAAGAACCCCAGGAGATGCTGTCCCTAAGGCAGTGAACTCCCACTTGCTCCCGTGCTCCCCACCCACCCACCCCACACTTCACCCCCATGCCTACTTACCTCTACCTACCAGAGCCATGCAGAGCGCCATGATGCCTTAGGCTGCTGGGAAGGGGGTGGGGGAAGGGAGGGGGGGATGAACAGAAGGAGGGGACTCCACTGTGGTCCAGGCAGGGTGCTGCTGGAAGGGAAGGGAAAAGGGAGAGAGAGGAGGAGGTGAGTGAGAGGGTGGACTTCACTCTCCTGTCCTTGCTCCAGTGCTCCCACTCTCAGGCTGCAAAAAGGACAAGGGGGGGAGGGGGAAGAGAGAGAGGAGAGAATCAGACTACCATACCTCACCTGATACCTTACCTCACCTGTTACCGTACCATACCTGATACCACACCTCCCCACAGCTTCAGCTAGCTTGGCCTGCCCTCAACCCCCCACCCCCACCGCTGCTACTGCTGCTACCGCCGCTGCTTCTGCTGCTGCAATCGCTGCTGCCGGTCTGCTACTCTGCTTCCTCTGCTGCAAACTTCTATTGTTGCCAAGTGACCTAGTAGCGCGCATAAATTGGGGGAAAGGGGCAGGGTCGGGAGAGGAGGGGCGGGAGGAGCGAGTAAGTTGGCATCAAGGAAACACTCAAGTAAACCGAAGAACACTAGAGTGGACAAAAACGAGAATGCAGAATTGAAGAGAGGGATATGACGCATCTGTAGCAGGGAGGGAAAAGAGGCTCACCTTGGTTCAGACGACCCAGCCCGATACTCTCCCATCCTATCCCAGCCGAGTGGAGTGTTGCCCCCCTCCCCTCCCACCACTGCCACCTGCACGGCCACAAGGGGAGGGGTGTGAGGTAGTGGCGGTGTTGACCCCCACGCCCCTCCCCACAACCAGCAAGGAGAGAACTGAAGAGAAGTGAGTAAGCGGCTAGGGGTAGAAATGTGAGGGGAGTGCATGAGATGGCATGTGGTAGCAGAGAAGGGGGCCACTAGTGCAGCCTCAGCTACAAGCCACAGATCCAAGGAGGAAGAATACCTAGGGAGGCTTAACCTGAGGGGATACCTGCCGTGTTACCAGGGGGGGATTACCCAAGAAAATGGGTCTGTGGCTTGATGCTTTGGCTCAACAAGAGGCTTGCATTTGAAGAGACAAGAAAACAGGAGATGCAGCAAGGATGAACGTGGAAAGCAAACGAACACGAGAGAGATTGGGAGGAGAAAGTGAGGGCGGATACTTAGCTGTGGGTGGGTTGGGTGGAGAGCAGCTGCTGTTGCACTCCATATCCCCCGCCACTGCCACTCCCGTATGAGCAACCTGCTGGGACGACGGGGATTGGAGCAGAGAGAGGAAGGGAGGGAGGAGAGGACGGGGATGTGAAGGGCAATGAGAAAGAAGGGAACACAGGGCAGGGAGCAGCAAGCGAAGTGAGCATGGGCAGAAAACCAAGCAGCAGCGCGAGTGAAGGAAGAACAGACATTCAAGCATCTGTAGAAGGGAGGGGAAATGAGGCTCACCTTGTTTCAGACAACCCAGCCCGATACTCTCCCTTCCCATCCCAGCCGAGTGGAGTGCTGCCCCCCTCTCCTCCCACCACTGCCACCTGCAAGGCCACAGGGGTGGAGCGCGAGGGAGCGGCGGTGTTGACCCCCACGCCCTCCCCGCCACCTGCAACGCACACACAGAGCTAGTCAGAGCGCAGTGGTGGGAGCAAGTTGAAAGGGAAACTGTGACTTAAAATCCAGCACAAGGGAAGGGAGGAGGAGCCACTGGTGAAGGCACGGCCACAAGCTGCAGACCCACTCGCCAGGTGCAGGTGCAGGTTGGTAGCGGCTCTTGTGGGGTTGTGGTTGGCGTCACATGCACTGTCGTTTCTGCTGTTGCACGTTTATTTGACGATTTTCTCCATTGCAACCCCTCTTACTTTCGGCTGCCTTTCGTTTCCGCCCTCCCTCCCCTCCCATCCCTTCCCTGCCAGGCCTTCACAAGCCAGGGGGGCGGCAGCAGGCGAGCAGCAGGCGAGGGGAGCACCAGGGCGGGCAGCAGGAGCGCGGGCAGCGGGGCAGCAGCGCCGGCCTCATCAACGGTTGAGGTTGCAGTATCGCCCCTGCCACCACACTCCACTCGAGCCCACTCCCCCTCAGGTTCAGGTTCAGGTGCAGGTTCAGGTTGGTAGCGGC